CTATGTTCCAGGTACTGTGCTAAGCACTGGAAATACAAAGCAAGGCAAAAGACAGTCCCCACTCTTAAAGGTTCACAGTCAATAGGGGAGACAACAGAAACATATTGTACAAAAACAATATGTATATATGTGCATATATATGCTTACATATATTCATATATGTGCATAAATATATACATATGTATATATACACACATATATATATACACACAAATAATTAACAGAGAGAAAGTACTATCAGCAAAAAGGGGAATCAGGAAAGGCCTCTCATGGAAGATGTGATTTTAGCTGAGACTTGATAGAGGCCTTGAGAACCAGGAACCAGGTGTAAGGAATAGCTAATGAAAACTCTTGGGATCAGGAGATGACTTTTCTTATGTGAAGAACAGCAAGGAAGACAGTGTCACTGGATTGAAGTGAGTGGAAAGAAGTAGGGCAAAAGAATACCAGAAAGGTAAATTGGGGGCCAGTTTGTGAAGGATCTTGAATGCCCAACAGGATTTTTATTTGATCCTGGAGGTGATAGGGAGCCATAGTTTACTGAATAGTGGGTGACATCAGTTCATGCTTTAGATAGATTAATTTGACATATAAGTAGTGGATAGACTGCAGTCAGGAAGTACTTGAGACAAGGCAGAGAAACCAAAAAGCTAAAGAGGTTGCCCCATCTCAGTTTTTTGTCAGACCACTTGGCAGTGTTCATAGCAATTCTTATCAGGGAAAGGGTTCTTTCCTGTGTAGTCTATGTTTAGGGGTTTATTGGACCCTGGGTTATTAAGTTCAGTTATTTCTGATTCTTTCTTGTCTAGTCCATTCCATTGATCTACTTTTTTTTTAACAAGTAACAAAAGATTTTGATGATTACTACTCCGTAATACAAAATGCCCTCTAAATCTTACTGCAGTTTTAAGTTTAAAGCTTAGAAAAATTATTAGTTTTAATAACTTAAAACAAAAGTAAGACATTTTGGGGCACCTTGCATGCTGTGACGTCTGGAAGTATTATTCTTTTTTATTCCTACTTTATTTGATAGTTTCTGTTTTCTCATTATTATTTAAAACAGTGTATAGAAAGCTAAACTTGAAGCCAAAAAGACCTGGGTTCAAATTCTTCTGACACATAAAGGCAATATGATTGTGGGCAATTCATTTAACTGCTATGCATTCTGTATGTAAGACTATATGTTGAATAGAAAATGCTTATCTGCATTGGTAGTGGGTTTCCTCCTCTAGAGTTCCCTAAACTAATGAAATTACTGGTCTAGTCTCTATTACTATACTTATTTTAAACTTTCCTACACATTTAACATGAGGGTAACAGTTTCATTTTGAAGATTGGAAAGTGAGGTGCATTAAAGTATAGTGGACTTGAAACTACATGTTATGAACCTTAGCACATTACTCTTTCTACTAGACCAGAGGTTGGCCCACTGGCACAAGGGCCAAATCTCTCCCTGTGTTTGTACAACCTGTAAGCTAAGAATTATTTTTATATTTTAAAATATAATAAAAATATATTATAAAATGCAATAGAATGTTTATATTTTAAAAATACAATAAAATAGTTGTATTTTAAAAATACAGTAAAACGTAGGAACCATTATTAGCTGGTGAGCTGTACGGAAAAAGGTCTACTGACCCTTGTACTTGACAATTCCTTGTTAAAAACGCTCTGAACCACCCAACTCATTGTGTGCCATGTGAAGTCCTCTGACTCTAATTTATGTCTTCTTTCTCTAATAAGTATAATATTTAGTCAAAGAGCATTGATAAATTTCATTCTTGTACTCTTTTCATGTAACGACTGTCATGTTTAATAGTACCTGGACCATTCCACTGTATACACTTCACTTTCAATAACTATTTTAAATAATTGAATGTAATCCCCTTCCAAAAGCATTCCCAAAATAGTCTAGTAGAGTTTTGTATGCTCTTGAAATAAGAACTTCACAAATTTATTCAAGTGTTTACATGAGGGAGGGAAAGGAAGGAATTTGACACTGTTACTGTTACTAAGAAAAGAGAACACTATTGATAGTGTCCAACTAAGCAGTCATATTGGTATTATCATTAAAAGATGATTATTTCTTTCTAGTTACAAGTTCACATTGGGAGACAGTGCTTGAGAGTTATGTAACTGTGTGGTCAAATTTTGTAGTATTTTGAGGAAGCTAGGTGGGTAATGAATATACAGGAGTCAGGAATTCTGAGTTCAAATTTACTCTCGAATACTTCCTAACTGTGTGCTGTTGGGCATGTCACTTAAACTCTGCTTCCATTTTCTTTTCAAATCCAGTAGTTTCATGTGGAATACCTGGAAGTCCTCTATTTCATTAAAGATACATTCTTCTCCTCAATTTTTCCAGATAAATTATTCTTGGCTATAAGCCTACATTTTTGCTGTCTAGAACAGTGTGCACTAAGCTCTCTGCTTCTTTATAAAGGTAGTTGTTAAATCTTGTGTGATCTTGACTCTAACTTCTTGGTACTTGAATTCTGCCTTTCTGGTTGCTTTCAGGTTTTTTTTTTCTTTGACCTGGAAACTTTGGATTTTGACTATTATGTTTCTGAGAGTTTTCAGTTTCTTTTAGGAAGTAAATGATAGTTTCTATTTCCAATTTGTCTTCTGGTTCTAAGAAGTCTGAAAAAATTTCTTTTATGGTGTCTTGAATTATAATGTCTTTTTTTGGTTCATGGCTTGCAAAAAGTAATCCAGTGATGTTTAAAGTGTTCTCACCTTGTTTTGTTTTTCAGATCCTGTTTTGAGTTGTTTTTGCTATAAGAGAGCTTACATTTTCTTCTATTTTTTAGTTAATTGACATTGTTTTAACATTTCTTGCTGTGTCATGGAGTCATTAGCTTTTGTTTGCTCCATTCTGGTTTTTAGGGTGTTTTGTTGTTTGATCAAAGTTTTATGCCTCTTTTTTTCTCTCCAAGCTATTAATAACCCCTTCAAATTCTTTCTTGCATAGCTCTCATTTCTTTTCATTTTTTCCACTTGTGCTCTTATTTCTTGTATAAAAACATTTTAAACTCTTGTTTAAGCTTTTGTTTCATTATTTCCAGGATTTCTATTTAAATTTGTGTTCAATGTGTGTTTTTCTTTAAAGCTTTGCTTGTTGATGTTTTGGAGTCATTTTCTTCTTCTCGATTTATGTTGTGAGCTTCCCTATCACCATAATAGATTTTAAATGTTATATTCATTTTTGTTTGTTCACTCATTTTCCCAGTGTTTTTCCTGACTGTACTTTGTGTTGGGACCAGGCTCTGTGCACTTCTGTCAGGAGTATCTGGGTTAGTCCTTCTGCTGTTTTTTGGGAGGTATCAAGGGTTGAGTTATTCCACGACCTCAGGAACAGCTCAGGTTGCAGAACTGCAAGCTTTCAGTGGTGATAAAGTGATCTGACACTGGGCAAGTTTAATTGCTGCTAAGTGATCAGAACTCTGCAAATTCTTGACCTGGTTTTGCGTTTGAGCAAGAGATCTGTGGATTTCCTTCTTTGGAGTTTCAAGAGACTGCTGTTGTACTTAGCCCCTGTCAGCCTCTTGAAAAGTTCTGCTTGTTCAGAGTGACAGAAGTGCAGGGTCCTCTTTGGTCTGAGATCTCTGCCCTGGTCATTCCCCTACAGGCTTCAGTCATCCCTGACCTGGAAATGGGTAGTGACTGACAAAGCTGCCAGTTGTCGCATGTTGCTTTACTCTGCCTGAGTTGTCTATGCCCTGGAATTGGTCTGGTCCCTTTTCTTGCCTCTGCTGTCTTTTAGTTCTTGAGTGCTGATGTGCTCTTCAGGCTTTTCTACTGGTCAGACCTCATGCCCAGTGTCCACAGACCTAGCTTCACATTATACTGGCCAAGGCTGGAAAAACGATTCCCTCTGACTTTTTCTTGGATTTCCTGATCAGGATTCAGTCTAGTACATTTTTTAGATCTATTTGGAGGAGTATTGTGGAGTGGGAACTTGCTGTACTTTGTTCTATTACTTTGCCATTTTGTCTCTGCCTCTTCCAAGACATCTAATCTCAATATCTAAAACTGAACTCATTGTCTTCCTCTCTAAACCCTCCCTCTTACAGACTTTACTGTTTCTGTCAAAAACACCATTATATTTTCCAGTTTCTCTGGTTCATAATCTTGGCATTATTTTACATAGCTAATGAGTTTCCAGCTCTTGATAACTCTGTGACTTTGCACTGGCCTTTTCCCATTCTTGTCATGAACTTTTTCTTTACTTCCACTTCATAGAGATCTTCTCTCTTTTAAAGGCAGCTCAGGCCACTCCTACATTAAGCCCTTGCTAATCTCTTTAACTGTTAGTGCCTTCTTCGCAAACTACCTTGTATTTAACTACTTTGTGTATATTTGTATTTATTAACTTTACAGTTATACTGCATGTATTTTTATGTCTACTTGTCTCTTTCCTTAGAGTATAATTATAATGAGTAGATTGTTTCATTCTATGTATCTCTTGTACCTAGCACAGTGCCTGGCAACTAGTAGGCACTTAATAAGTACTTGCTAATTGATGGATTTCATTTGTAGAGGAAAACTACCCATGTCTAATTTTCTAGTTTACAACAGTCTAGACTTTAATCTGTAGATTAAAGAATTGGGCTAATGTGTTTCCAACAAGGAAGAATATTGGATCAAGGTCTCTTGTACTGACAAATTCTTAAGACAAATTAGAAAAATTTTCTATAACATAACTAATTATGTCATGGTTCTAATTCAAACAGTTTAACAATTTTAAATAGCAAATTCTTATACTGTTTAAAACATGGTGGATGACTTAATTACCAACCAAATGTGTTAAGTAACAAACCAGTTCTATTAACCTGATGAGAACACTTCTCATTCTTCTACTTAAGTTAGTTAAATAAAAGTGCATTTATAGTTATTTAATAAGTTGTTTTAAATTGCAACTTGGTTATACTGTTTTTATTTGAAACATAATATTAATATCTTTAACCATACTTTTGTGTTTACTTCTTTGTGTTCTGTAGATCCAAGAAAATGATGAGCTAAGAGATGCCCATGAAAAACGCAAAGAAAGGCTGCAGATGTTACAGACCAACTACAGAGCAGTAAAAGAGCAATTAAAACAGTTGGAAGAAAAGTATAGCAAGTGAGTTACGTAGCTCATAAAAAATACCTTCCTTGAATATTAAATGGAATACAACAGCATTTTAAGTGTTCTTAGTGGATTTTGTAAAATTATTTGATAGATTTTTTTTCATATGAATCTAAGTAGATATGGAGCATGACAAAGTACATATGCTCACTTTAGTATTTTCAAATTGTATGATGATGCTTAACAACTGGAAATTATTTATTTTACCTTTTAGTATCTCTGTAGATAGGTTTAACTAGAATATATTATTTTAAATTAATAACATATTACATATGATTGAATATTTAGTTTTATAACAATACCTGTTAGGGACAAAATTAAAATTCAGAACTTTAAAATATGAAGACAAGAGGCATATGTGATGTAAGACTTACAGTCAACAGTTTAAAATTTTGTTTTACATAGTATGTGTTGAAAATCTTAACAATCTATTGGTTTGTTCTATAGCTATCTGAATGAATTGGTGCTCTCAGTTCAATTTCTGTGAACAGGTGTTCAGATCTCAGTTAGTCGTAAGTGGCTCCCTTGTTAACAGTATCAACAGAGGGCAAAGGACTGAATGAGCACAGAAAATGTACTATAGTCTCTTCTTTGGCAAGAGATCCTTCAGGGCAGTGTTAATGGTGCATATTGTTTGTTTGTATGTAGAAGTAACATTTCTAAATTGGCCAGTGCAGCACTTTTCCAAATTATAAACCAAGAGTTGATTTTTATCTCTTGAAAACTGAGATTCAAATGGAAATTTTCATTGTCTATTGTTAAAGTTGGATCATTGATAGAGAAAATTCTTCTGATTATGCTACTTTTTAATGATTTCTCCTGGTGGATAAAAAAAATTATCAAATTTACCTGAATAAAAACAAAGTGTAAAATAACTGTAGATTCTACTACTCTAAGCACCTAACTTTTCAAAGCCCTGATAATGTAACGGCTCACTTTCCAATATGAATACCTAACAGCTTGCTTTTAAGACTGGGCATTTATACCACTTACAGATTTGTTGGCAACATATGCTGGATTAGTTGATGGCTTATAACCTTTCTTGGAGACTGTGACATCCCTACAATGTACATTTTCTCTACTGGCAGAATTTGAGAGATAGACCCAGTACTGCCATATGTCATATTAAGAGCTCTGCTTTCACACCAGCAGTCCAGCTTTATGAAATTATTTTAGATCTTTAATTTAAACATACCAGGTTTTTGAAGTACTATCCAATCAAAACTGAATTCATATTACCTTTTAGGAATATATCTGATGGATTTTTAAAGTTCAAAGATGTATGAGTTTTTCTAGATTTTAAACTTTAGAAAAATAATAAAACATCTTGATTATGAAATAGGACTGACAGAAACAAACAAATGAAGAGAGGAGAGTCCCAGCAGCTCCTACAAGAAAATTCTAATGCTCTGTGGAACGAGCTGACATATTTCAAAAGGGAGCACCAGAAGTTATTGATTGAAAAGTGAGTTTTCTTTTTTCAACAATATGTACATGGAGAAACATTTGGGGAGGTTTTTATGTGGCTTGAAGGCCACTAGAGAGAGTCCTTATGTAATTTGAAGATTATACCGTCTTTTTACCAAGAAAAAAGAAAAGAAAAAAAAACACTGGCTTTTTTCATAATGCAGTGACAAGTTGTACGTTTGCTACTACTAACAGAAACTGTATAACATGATCTAGGGATTGTGTTAATTAATGTGGCTCTCATCTGTTGGAGATGTCGCTCTTCATTAGCCTGTATTTTACACACTGCCGTGCTTCATTTTTGGAATGAGGTGGTGAGGGGATAACCTAGCCAGCCATCCTTGTTTGATCTCCTTGATACATACGCAATGCAGAATGCCTCAGCTCTCTTGGTTCCCTGCCCTGTCCTGCTAATCCCAGCTGAGCTCATTATGGTGTAGCCTTGCTGCTACTCTTGGAGCCAGAGCTGTCCAAGCTAATTACTGGTAGCAGCAGAGCTGCCTGTTAAGGGTCTGGTGTGGATCTGCTAACATGGTCCTTGGTAGTGACCTGAAGAAGACGCGAGGGAGTTGCTTTCTTTCTTGCTGTGCATTGCCTGTCCTTTGGGCTTAATGCTGATCCCTTCACACAGCTCTTTTAGATACAGTAAGTACAAAACTTGGTGAAGGCAGCTCATATTTTAGAAAACATACAGTTTGCTTCTTTGATCTTATAATTCACATATTATTATACTCAGTCTGTCAATGAAAGAAAACTTTCTTTTCTTGTAGACAAAAGGAAATTAGCCCAGTATAATTAGCCTTTTGCTGCTATTTAACTGTTTCTTTACCTTACAGTAATTTTAGCCATCAGAATATCAAGTTTTTATGGAAGATTGTGAATTTCATAGGTAGCTAGTCTAAGAATTGGCAACAGGTGTAGCACTGAGCATCAGAGTTTATTGAATTTTCTTAGCAAATTATACATTATTGCATCATTTTATGGCACTAAGCTCTTTACATAATACAAATAAAACTAAATTATAAGCTGTTTCACAAAATTGTAAGTTCTTTTAGAGAAAAGACCATGTTAAACTTGAACTGTGAACTCTAAGGTGTTGAATATTGTGCAGCATATTCTGTGGATTCTCAATAAATATTTAATGCTGGTAATGGAATATCTGTCTTTGAAACTTTTCATAAATTTATTCATTCAAACATTTCTTGAGCTTCTCTCTACATGGCAGTATGCTAGGTACTTTGGGGAATAGAAAGATGAATAAGACACAGTCCTTGTCAATAAGAAGCTTATATTCTAGTAAGGATAATGGATATACTCCAGTGCAAAGGAGAAAAAGAAAGTGCAATAAGAGAGTTAAAGTGTTATGGCTATTCAGGGAAAGAAGAAGATAATTTTAGGGTAGAAAAATCAAGAAATACTTCATGGAGAAAGTGACATTGAACCTGATTCTTGAAAGATGGGCAATTCATTGAATTCCACAAGCATTTATTAAGCAACTTCCTTGTGCCAGGACTGTGACAGGCTGCAGGGATACAGAGACAAATATAAAACAGCCACTGACCTCAGGGACATAACATTACACTGAGGAAGGGAACAACATCTATGTTGATAAGCAAATTAAAACATAGACAAAATAGATACCAAGTAAGTGGAGGAGTACTAATAACTAGGAGAATTAAGAAAGTCCTCTTGCAGAAGATGAACTTGAGCTTAGCCTTGAAGAGAATGAAGGGTTTCAAGAGGCAGAAGTGAGGAGAGTATTCTAGGAAAGAGGGGCAGCCTATTTAAAGTCAAAGCGGTAGGAAAAGAAATACATGTATAGAGATCAGTAAGTTGTCCATTTGACTGAAAGGTAGCATGTGTAAAGGGGACTATATGTAATCAGCCCAGAAAAAAAAGAGGCCAGACTGTGAAAGGCTTTAAATTCCAAACTGGATGTTACATTTTCTCATAAGGGCAGTAGGTAACTATTAGACCTTGGAAAGGGGAGTGATTATGTTTAGACCATACTGCTTTAAGAATATAATTTGGTAGCTATGTGAATATGGATTCAGAAGAATGCAGGCTAAATGCAAGGAGATAAATTAAGAGAGTATAACTGCAGTACAGGTAAGAGGTGATATGGGCTTGAATTATGGTGGCTTTGGTATGGTTGGAAAAAAGGAGAAATATGCAGGAAATGTAGAGGTAGAATCAACAAGAACAGGCAATTGGCTGAATATGGGATTGGTAGAAGAGATTAAAGAATTGTGGATGACTCCTTGCTTATCTGTTTTCATATCTGGAAGAAAGACTATGTCCTCAACAGAAATAGAGAAATGGTCACAGACAAATCTATCAGATATGTTATTCATGTGTTAGATACTCTGGGTACTGTTTTTTAAAACACACCTGTTCCAGCAAAGTCTCTTTTGATTTAATTTCTGCTTCTTAGAAATCTGACAGGAACTTCATGTAAGAAGCCAGAGGTGTCGCTGTCTCTTTTTAAGCCCAAAGTAAGATAAAAATAAAGAGTTTTTACATACGTGAAGTTTTAAAATGCTTCAGGCATGACATCTATGAAAAGTGATTAGATGAACAGCACTCAAGTTGCTACATTAAACTGCTTTTTTCACCTGAGTTTCTTCTGTTTCCATTTCACATCTGCTTTATCTCTGCCTGTTAGTAAAGGATGTAAAGTAAATTGTGCTTACTGTCAAAATGTTGATGATCTCTTGCCCTAACTAATTAATATTGCTGATGAATCTTGAGGTCTACAAAATGATTTTACCTAAAAAATTATCATCTTTAAATATTTTATGTCTTTTTTTGTAAACGGTTTGGTAATTTTTCTTGATTTAGTGTAGTTTAAAAGGACATAGTGAACAGTTACTTAGCTAGTGTAGCTTTTGTGGACGCTATGTTATTAAAAATATATTTTGCATCGTTTTAAAACTAGAGTGGAAGTTTAATAAGGAGTACTTTGTTAGTTGTCATTAAGAGCAACTTCCACTTGGAAACTATAAACTCTTTAAGAGATTCAGTTCCAAAGGTCTGAAGCCTTTTATAAATTATCAAAGGGTAATATTACAACAGGCATACTTACAAAACAGGATACATATGGGATATAAATGATTCTTAAATCATAATATTTTTAGAGGTTTCAAACTATTTTAAATACAGCTTTGTGTTTTTAATATCTTAACTACATTTAGATGAATTTCTAAACAGTTTTATCTAGATCTGATTTTCATACATTATTTTTCTTTCATTGACTTGATATCATTATTTCAGAAATATATTTAAAGGGTTGCTGCCCTCTTGCCAATTACCTGTCATTATTTACACCAAACTGTTCTGTTATCGTACCTACCGTCTATTTATATTGCTGTATGTGGCAGGTCATGTGCTTAATTGTGGCATCTAGTAGACTTAAGCATTTGCATATAGCAAAGAGCATTATTGTGCAAACCGAAACATCTCTTTGTTTTTCCCTTTTCCCTAAGTTCATATCTAACTGTACAACAGGCATTGTGGGCCAGGCCTAACCTTGGCCAGTTCAGTGATTCAAGGGTTAAAATGCAAGAAAATACTCATGGATCAAAAAATACAATAAAACCAAAAGATAAAAGAACAGAGCTTCTAAATTAAAAAGATAAAAAATTTTACTCCATTTTGCCTCCTCACGGACCATACACTTTGATCAGGATCTCTTCCCTTTAGAAAGTCAGAGGTTAGGTATATTCTCTGATAGATTTACATTCCAGGCTAGATCTTTTATAATTGGGGCCACAGAACGAGGTTGAGGGACTACTTCTTTAAAGAACCAGTCTGGTTCACCTGCTACTCTAGCCACTGCTAGAGTATAGAGGGCAATGGACTGGGCTAACTTATATGTTCTTTTTTGTTATTTTGTTTTAAAAATATTTACTTTAGTTTTTATGTCACCTGCATTTACTTCCATCCCCCTCCTAGAGAGCCTTCCCTTATAATAAAAAATAAAAAAGAGGGGGAAAAAAGTACAGCAGAACTAACACAACGAAAAAGTCTCACTTTTTATGTACAGTTCCATTCCCCTAAGTGTCCCCCTTCCCCTCTCCCACCTCTATAAAGCAGTAGAAGGGAGTGAAGAAAGGAACATTTTTATATCTGTTCCTTGGATCTTAGCTTGGCCATTATAATTTCACAGTATTCGGTTTCAAATATTTTGTTGTTCTTTCAATTTACATTAATGTAGTCATTGTGTATCTTGTTTCCATGATTCTACTTATTGCACTGTACATCAGTTCATATGTCTTCCTGTTCTTTTTTGAATTATTTATGTTCATTGTTCCTTTTAGCATAGTAATGTTCTATTTCACTCATGTACCATAGTTTGTTTAGCCGTTCCCAAATCCATGGGCATCTACTTTGTTTCCAGTTCTTTGTTATTACAAATAGTGCTGTTATAAATTTTTTGTTTATAATTTTTATTATTGACTTCCTTGGGGCTAATGACTAGCATTGGGATATCTGGATCAAAGGCATTGGCATTTTAATTACTTTCTTTGCATAACAAATTGCTTTGTGGAATGGTTAGATCAAACAGCTCCACCAGCCTTGTGCCTGTTTTTCTACAACCACTCCATCATTGACTATTCCTCTCCTTTGTCATCTTTGCCAATTTTCTGGTAGTGAGATGAAATTTCAGAGTTCTTTTGATTTGTATTTCTCTTATTATTAAGTGTTTGTATATACCTGTTTGAATATGAAATTACCTGTAATATGAATATGAAGCAGCTGGGAATAATAGAGAGTTTAAAGCCAGGAAAATGTGGATTCAAATCCTATCTTAGAAACACACTTGCTGGGTGATCCTGGGCAACTGACTTCTTACTTCTCTAGGAAACCAAGGCTATTAATTGTGCAGATGCTGACCTGAATTGATAGAATTTACTTATGCAGGAATTTCATATACCATTGAAATTGCAGATTCTGTTCCTGTTATCTTTCTTAGTTTCCATATCTACATATTATCTC